AATCACCTCTTTGCTTTCCATGTGCTTCCATAGCTTCCAGGAGAATTTGTTCCATGATCTTGCCAGGCACAGAGGTGTGACTGTAGTTTCCTGGTTCTTCTGCTTTCCCCTTTTTAAAAATTGGACTTATATTTTGCTTTTTTCAGTCATCAGGGATGTCGCCTGACTGCCAGGATTTCTCAAAAATTATAGATAGTGGCTTAGCAACTACATCAGCCAGTTCCCTCAGGATCTGAGGATGAATCTCATCAGGACCCATGGACTTACGCACATTCAGGTTCCTTAGATGGTCTGGAACCTAATCCTCTTCTGCAGTGAGTCCAGGGGTTTCATCCTCCCAGTCTCCACCTTTGCCCTTCTTAGTCTGGTCAGAATGGCTAGAGCGCTTGGAGGTTCGTTAAGAACCTCAGCCTTTTCTTTATCCAGGGTAGCCAGTTCTGTTTCCTTCCAGAGAGGGACTACATTATCTCCAGCCATCCTTTTACATGCAGCATACCTGCAGAAGCCTTTCTTGTTATCCTTAATGTCCCTGGCTAGCCTCAATTCCAGCTGTGCCTTAGTTTCCCCAACTGTCTCTCTAGCTTCTCTTACAGCTTCTCTGTATTCCTCCCAGTCCATTTGTCCTCCCTTCCACCTCCTAAAGGCCTCTTTTCTTTTTTTTTCCCCCCTGAGTTTCCTCAGCACTTCATTATTCACCCATGGAGGCCTTCTGGCATTTTTGCCTGATTTCCTCTGTATCTGGATGCATCAGTCCTGATCTTGGAGTAGATGATCCTTGAATATCAGCCAGCAGTCTTGGGCCCCTCTGCCTTCCAGGACTTCATCACAAGAGACTCTGCCAAGAAGGTCTTTGAAGAGGCCAAAGCTGCTCTCCTGAAATCCAGGGCAGTGAGCTTCCTGTGCACCTTCCTCGCTGCTCTGAGGATCTCAAACTCCACCATCTTGTGGTTGCTGCAGCCAAGGCTGCCTTGGAGCACCACATTCCTCACCAGCTCCTCCCTGTTGGTGAGCACAATCTCCAGCATGGCTCCTCTCCTTACTGCTTCCTCTGTCATCCATGTAAGGAAGTTATCATTGACACATTTGAGGACCCTCTGGGATTGCCTATGCACTGCCATGTTGCTGTCCCAACAGATATTGGTGTGATTGAAATCCCACTTGAGGACCAGGGCCTGTGAGCTTGAGGCTAATTGCATCTGTCTATAGAGGCCTTCATCCACACCCTCCTCCTGATCAGGTGGTCTGTAGCAGACCCCCACCACAGCTCTTCAGAAATTTAGCTTGGATGTCCATGGGGAATAACTTGGGTCTACAAGCCAAATCAGCTGTAAAGACAGACAATGTTTTCATACCCCAGGGCATGAAAAACTAGTATTAATACTGAAGTAGGTGAAGGTTTTTGTCTTTTTGTTTACACTTTCTGTAGTAAACCCTTTGTTTAGGATTTTCTTTCTTGAACACTGTGGTATAGTCATATGCTGAAATCTCCATATAAACATACCATGCCCTAAAAAGTGAGTTCCTAACTTTTCCTTGCCTCGATTAGGGAAAAGAGTGAAGCACACACAGTTACTGTGCAGTACTGACTTTGCTTTCTTGAGCTTTTGCAGTCCTTTGGGTTGTGCAGCCTTTCCTCTTGGATGATGGTATCAACAGTGCAGTTGTAATTAAGTACTGGTGTGAAGCTTAAACATGCTGTCTTGCAAAGAGATCCAATTAATTTTTCTCTTTTAAGAGGTATTCAGAGCTCCCATCTTTCGTCATAGAATAGACAAGAATGGATTTAGCTTGGGCTTCAGCAAAAACCTGAGGCAGGTGTTCGGTGATGAGAAGAAGTACTGGCTGCTGCCTGTGTTTTCAAGGTATGCTGTTCTTAATACTTCAGTTGTTGAGACTGTTGAATAACCAGGATCCACAGGGTTTGGGGTGATTAGATTTTGAAATAAGATACAGTAATACTCAATTTAATAAAAACTGTTGTTCAAACTTGTTAAATTTTTGTACTTACGACACTAATTCTGAATTTTTCAGTTTAGGGGATGGTTGCTCCTTCCCAACTTGCCTCGTTAATCAGGATCCTGAGCAAGCTTCCACACCTAGTGGTCTTAATTCAGCATCCAAAAAGTAATCTGCTTTTTGTTCTTCATTTCAAATATTTGATATTTTCCCCCCTGTGTGCACATAAATACAATTATGTGTAAGATACTTAAAAGTGGTAAGCAATGAAGAGTATCCTGTTAATAAATCCAAGTCAGATTTTAGACAGCTAAACTATAACTCAGCTAATCCTCAGATTTATGTTAAAATTTGTGTAAGTAAGGTGGAGTGGTTTTCTTCCCCCAGTGCAATTTGTCTTGGTTCAGTGGCATCCTAGGCTCTGAATTTTTCACACCTACCTAATATTTGGTATCAGCAGCATTCCATTCTGCATACATATGAGATGCTTAGTCAGTCTGTTTGTGATACGAATCCATTACCTTGCACAGCTTTTTGGGGAGGTCTGGTGCAAGGTGCTTCACATAAGGGAATCCCTTATGGCACTTGTGCCAAGCACAGGAAGTGGAATATTAAGTGTTGTTTCTGCTGATAATAATAGACCTTTTATTAATTACTATCCCTAATGAGCATGACATCCTTAAAGTTTGGAAAGTATGGAGGTGCTCCTTTAAATAAACATAATACCTTAATATTTCACATTGTATCCTTTTTTCAACATTTATGTAATGCAAATATGATAAGTGTAGGAGACTTGAATATGTGGCTAAGAAATGATAATGGAATCGCACAGACAAACTCTTACTCATAACAGAAATGTATTACATTTCAGCTAGCTGTTTATTGACACTGTAAATCTTGCTCCAGCAATCCATAGCTTGTATTAGGCAAGAGATTTTGGAGATGTTTTCTCCCCTATTTATCATGTCAAGTTTGTTGTAGTGGAAAAGAATATAGGTTAGCATGCATTTAGAGCTGGAGTACGTATATTAATATATAGTAACTGTTAAATTAAAATCAGAACGATCCCCTATTCTGTGCCAGGGAGTTGCTTTATAGATTGTGCTTGTACCTGTGACAACTACAGTGTAACCTATGTAGTTATATACCAGAAAAAAAGTAGGGTAAGGTAAGGAAAATATTGTGTATGACAAACTGGTTGTAATGTGTGGTAAGATAATGAAAAATTACTGCAGTTTACTAATGTCTTTTTTATTGGCACTGCAGTGAGAACCACCTGTTTCCTGCAAGGCCGTTGCGTGATTCCCAGAGTCATCTACTTACGGATACACCGTCTTGGTCAGAAACTAGTGCAAAGGCTGGAAAGGGCAAAGTTGGTAAGGAGTTGATTTATGCTGAATTGATTTGTGTTGTATAAACTAGTTTCGGAGGATATAGTGTGAAAAATTACCACGGTCACTTGGACTGTATTCATGAACCAAAATTCACGAAGCTTTATTTTAACTGCGTGCCTGTAGGAAGTTCCATGTGTCATAGAATCACAGAATCAACCTGGTTGGAAGAGACCTCAAAGATCATTGAGTCCAACCCTACCGTGGTTACTAGGCCATGGCACTAAGTGTCAAGACACTGTGCCCTTCCCAGTTAAGTCTGACCAAGAAACACTGAGAACACTGACACCAGTAGATGCTACTTACCATGTAAGATGAGGCTGATAGTACTTTTGGCAACAAATTGCTTATAAAAGAATATGGTAACACCTAGTTGCAACTAGTGAAAAGCTGTGTAACAGATACAGGACAGGAACAGACTTTGCAATAGTGTAATGACGTTAAGATGATTGTTAATTAAAAGTTGTATTGTTTGCTGAAACAGACGTAAGACCTTTTCCTGTGGAAATACCATTTCTTGTCTTTAAAGGTATGAGCAATCCTGCCTTAACCATGGAAAATGAAACCTAGTTTCCCTTAAAAGAAGCATCTGAGTATGTAAGGAAAGGTATGTTAATATTCTCTGTACTTCAGATGTTGTTTTGTGATTCCTTACCACTGAAGGATGCCCAAAAGAAAAGTGCTAAAACAATACCTCTGTGTAGCTTGGTCTGCTAAAGCAGGTAAGGCTCTATCAAATGAGGAAGGAAAAAAGATTAGTGTCTCATTCTGTGTCAGGTACTGAACTGCATCCTATTTAATAGTAAGAAAGTGCTGCCTACTGTAGACAAAAGGTGTCCATATGACTTCCTGAGCATTTAATCACCTGCTGTCAAAAATGCCTGAGATGTTGTGCACATGAGGGGAGATCTTACGGGTTGTGGGGAATGAACACCAGCAATCATCATATCCACTTCAGTATTTGAGTATTTCTAATTCCAGTAAAGCTTATGAAATTCAACTATTTGATATTTAGAACCCTATAAAAAATTTAAATCCAACCCTAAGAATTTTTGCATACCAAACAATTGGTATAGAGGAGTTGTTCTAGCAAAGTCATTTCCATCTCTACTGTTGGAAGCACCTTGTCAGTCATCCTGAAAAAGTGTCTCAAGTCAATGTCCTTGATTTGTGTGTGGCTTGACTCCAGGACATGCTGTGATGGCTGTCAGGTTGCTCATGGTCCCTCCTGGAAGTGGAAGGCATGCAAAGCCATCAGGGAACTGCAGTGATTGTTACTAGACCCATCAGCAATGCTATTGCATTGCCAAAGCAACTTACAAAAATGGTAGGTGTGCAGATACCAACAAAGGGTCCCAGTTCAGCTTGATTCATAAGAGAAACTAAAAAAATTCTTGACCCTTGCATTCTGGTTTTGTGTTCAGTGGTGAAGGCGCAGACAGTTCCAGATTTAGGTAGATCGACAAACTTGATGGTGGTGTGAAGCGTTAGAAGTGTTGAAAATGTGGGTGTCAGATGAGCAGAGTGAAAGAGACGAGCGAACGAAACTCAGACGGTGACTGCAATTTTGACTGCTCTGTGTATGCTATTTTAATAGAATGTGAAAACCTCATTTCTAACCCTTTGCTCAAAATGTAAAATGCTGTATTTGTGCCCTGTTTAATCCATCAGTTGTTTTAACAGCTGCTTTTGGAAAAGAATAAATTATTCAACTTCAGTTAGTTTGGTGTCTTACATGTCATCACTAATCAAGAGTAAAGCATTGGAGACAGGCTTCAAAGAAACAGATTTTTGACTCATGCTACAGAAATACCATTAGTTGCAACTAGTTTTATCAGAGTGGAGTTCTACTTTCTAATGTCCTAACATTTTATTTACTGAAGGAATAGCTTTTAAACTTTAATCTTTCTTTGGAGAGTGTGGACCTTTTATTGGAACTTTGTCATTGAGATTATTCTGAATATCAGACATGGTCTGTGACTGTTCTAAAGAGGTTAAAAGTGGGTTTTTTCCAACTGTTTAGCTTGACAAACATCTCATGCTCATAATAGTTTTTTTTCTTTTAGTCCAGTCTGATAAAGTAACAGATTTGTGTTTGCAGTCTGATTGCCTCACCCTCTGAGGTTTGGGAGCTTTGGTGAAGTTTTCTTGTTTATTCTTTTTCTGAGCATCTGTTTTGAAATGAAGCTTTTTAAAGAGAGACCACATTTAGAGGAGGTTATGTTCCAAAGAGTAAGTGTAAACCCACCTAAAGGGGCTCCTGGAGGTTAGTTTTGCCTCAGACAGACTCGTGCACATCTCAGAAGGGTAGTATCTTAAGGATTGGTAGTTCTTTGGCATGAGCATAAGCCCCAGTTTGGTTGTGCCCTTAGCTTGGTGGTATTTCTGTGTGGCATTTAAAAGACTTTCTGGAGATATAACAAAAAAGCTAGACTACTGTCTCTCTCTATATATATGTGACATAGAGTTGCTGGAGTAAGAGCTCTTATATAAAAACTTTTTTTAACTGCTTAGCACTTTATTACTTTACTGTCAGTATTTGCATAATAGTTCTTCCTGGGGAGTGAACAGAATACTTTAATAGAACTCTGAAGCTACACACAACGAAATCGAGTAATTTCATCTTTGACATGAAAACTACAGCCTGCAGCCCCTGCCAGTGCATTAGAATCTGAACATCTGTCCCAGCAAGGATCTATTCAATATCCTGTATCCTGTAGTCCTTTATAGTTCATTGGAGGACTAATGACTGAGACTGCCAGATGTGGCTTACACTACTGTAAGAGCCAATTGTTTCTTAATGATATTGGTACATGGAAATATTGTAAAAATAGCTCACTTCATTTTATAAACTGTTGGCCTGCTTGCTGTGTAGTCAGTGCTTAATCACTGCCATACTGCAATAGATTGATAACATAACTGTGAACAGCTTTGCTGTGTTCCTCTTCAGGGTGGGATTTTCGTTCTGCTGTTGGTCAGTTCCCCCTTTGAGCTGATGAGACTGGTTGCAATAACTTAATTTTTAAGTATTCTTTGATTCTAATGGTGTATTTTGTGATGAATGTTCTGTTCCAGTTGAAGAGCAAGCTGTCGTTGGAAGGAAGATGCATTCTTCCAAATATTAGTCCCGTTGGCCAGCTGCTCCTGCCTGCTCCTCTATGGATGTGCTCAGAAAACAAACTGCCAGATGATTAGCTGTCTCCATGTCACTGTTTGAAACATGAAACTAAACTTCCGAACCTTATCGAAAATATTTCAACTTAAAATTCCTGGGTTTGAATGGTGAAGGATGATTGATTATTAGGAAATGGAAAAAAAGAAGAGTCTGAGTTTACAATTGTAAAAATTCCATGGCTGGTTATATTTCTGTGTTCAGCACAAGAAAAATCTGACCTCTGTACATGTAAGTCCATGTTCTTGCCTTGGTATTGAAAATTCACCTTTTAGTTCAAATTGTTGTAAGTAATTGACTTGAAAATCAAATTCTTGCACTACTGGCTTTATGAATTGGAAGAACAGCCAGTGTTGACTATGAGTAATTTGGTGGCTTGGTGGACTGAACTTTCTTTTGAGCGCTTGATAAGCAGTTTTTGAAGTTAAGGACACCCGAGTGAAGTTTCTGACTATTTTTGGAACATTGTTTGGAAACCACTATGGCAGAAGCTGTTTTCCGTCAGCTCTGCACTACCAATAGCTTGGAAGTTGTGGAGTGGAAAAAAAAGGTGTTTGTTAATTGAATGCTCCAGTGGGTCCCTCAGGGATGTGATGAATGAACTGACCAGCTGGGGAGCTTGATGGGAGGAGTGTTGTGAAATTGGGATTTTTATCATCCCATTTGGAGCTCTTGACCCCTTTGGGAAGTGAAATGTTAGCACTGTACTTTGATCCAAAAGGAGTTTTACCAACCTGTGTTCCTGAGGGCCACTGTCTTTCAAGCTCCTAGTTTCTTAGTAATCAGTATTTGTCTCATGTTTCTTTTTTCACTTGTTCTTGAGGACACTGCCTCTGTTATTGCATAACTTAATGAGTATTATGGACAGTCAGGGAGACTTGCTGTTGTAACTTGTGATATTTGCATTTACAGGACAACAGACTTTTGACTGCAATACCAAAAAGCCAAGCTGCTGCACATAGGAAATCCCCTTCAAATGAGTTAAGAGCTAAGCACTTTCTTAAGATCAGAGTTTATGGGCCAGTTAATCAAAGATGCATTATCAGCTTTCAAAGTCGAGGAAGTTTCAGCAACACAAATCTAACTGTCTTGTGCCTTTGTATCACTACACTACATTTATGGTATCAGTGTTTACATTTAAATGCAAGTTGTTATTCTGAAAATAAGTTTAGGAGGAACTTAGTTATGCTTTCTAGGTGGCTAGATAAAAAGACTAGTCAAAAAAAATATGGTCTGAGTGAAAACCTCTCAGACCAAGCTCCGTTCAGTTGAAAGAGAAGAGTGCTTCTGTTGTCAAACCTGAGTCACTTAGCATAGCAGATTGTTTCACAGTGTGAAAATGTCAGTTGTTTGTTGAGAAACCTGGCAGCAGGACTAAGTGACATAATTCTGAAAGCAAAAAATACTATCATTAACTCTTCTATGGGAAGGTAACTTTAAAATTTGTCTTTTGTTAGGTTTACAACTTAAGTGATAGCTGGTAGAGCACAAATGTGGCTTTTTTCTTTTCTAGTGTGAGAAAATGTATTTATTTTACTTTTTTTTTTCAATCTCAAACTTTTACCAGCCTGAAAACATCTGTTTCTTGCCAGAAGTGCCAGAGTGTGGATCCCTTGATGTAGAACACCTTTTTTTAAACTAGCATGAAGGTAGCAAACAGTTTACATGATGCCTGCAGAGATCTAGCAACCAAAAGATTTTTTGCAGCTATTTATTCAGTGTTCTTCTGTCAGGTTACCTCATATTCATGTTTGTTTAAAGGCACACTTGTCAAGGCATAAGGGGGAGAGGGAAAATATATTTTTTAGCACTTCAGGTTCTCTATCTGTAGAGTCTTGTTTTTTATGCAGTTAGTCACAGGGTGGTTTGTCATGGAGCATGCATTTAAAAATACTGAGTATAAAGTTGACATTCAGCTTCAGTAACTTGCTCCATATTTTTACATAAAAACAAAAGATTTCTTCCCCAGCAGAACACATCATGGGAATGGATTTCTCTAATACAGAAAGGCTGACATCTATGTCCAGGGCTCTGAGAGCATTTTGTAAGGATGGGGATCAATGTAGAGAAAGGACAGGGATAAAGGATCAAGAAGTGCCTGGATTCTCCATGTCTCAGAAGTCACACTTGGAAAGCACAATAGCCCTAAATAATCTGCAGCTTTGAGGCAGCCAGAGGCTGTGCCCCTAGCAGAAAACTCATGGAGGCATGGGAAATGGGCAGTGACAAAGGGAGAAGGGGAAAGGGAAAGGATGGTGGCTCAGAGGTAAACACTGAGCAGCTCTGAGCCAAAGGGCTTTAGCTACACCTGCTCTCTGGCTGGGATGAGCTGTGCCTCCATGAAGAGCAGTGGCTGCAGGTTTTTGAGGGTTGCTGGCAGTTCCTGCTCTCTAGAGTATGGACAAAAGTGAGCTAATCATGCTCCAAAGGATAACTTCTGATGATATGACTATATTCTTGGCTTTAAGCTCTCTAAACCTTACACAATGAAGTGAAAATGGGGTTTTTGAGATACTGAGTGTTGACAGGTTCACAAGACAATTTGGGATGAGGTCAGAGGAGCAAGGATGCAATGTTTTTTGTCTGCTTAACACTGATTCTCCTGTCCTTTATAGTCTTGCTAGGCACTTTACTACAGCCTTTTGTGTAATTTCTGTTTTTTCTTTTTTATAAGGACTGCATTTTACCTACTATACAGTTACTTATCTACCTTTCTGCTAAAGAACGTAATATCCCTGGTATTTGTCTAGCAGTATGACTGCGTTTTGATCTTTAGTGGAAGTTGGACGAGTTCTACAGATTCCTCAGGTGGCCCTGAGTCCCTAATGCCAACAGAGCTAAATTCATTTTGTATACATTTAAGCAGTTATATGAATCATAGCTCCCCCCATGTGTAAGAAGTGGCTTTAGTTTGTAAGTTAGAACAAATCCAAAACGTCTGCACCAGAAGTGGTCCACACATACTCTATTGTCAGTTGATATACTGGTGATGGAGTGCTCAAAGTCCTTCACAGAGAACTATTTTTATTAAGAAAATGGAACCCACTCCCACTGAGCAATTAAGACAAAGCTGCTGCTCTGCACTTTAGTTCTTTACCCTGAGATAAAAAACACTGTCCAGTTCCAGTTGGAGACTGCAAGTTCTTCAGTAGACTGTAACTGGGGAGGTAATGAATGAAACACAAAATCACAGAATGGCCAAGGCTAGAAGGGAACCACAGTGGGTCATACCTGGTCCAACCAGCCTAGAGCACATTGCACAGGTTTGTACCCAGATGATTCTTGAATATCCCTAGTGTGGGAAACTCCAGAAAGGTTGCAGGAAGCAATTTTGGTTTAGCACAGGAAATGCTGTAGCTGGTTTTAATTGCTATTTGGACTAGGAGTTCTTGCCCTGATTCAGCTGGCTGGTGTGCTGGAGGGGAGGGGAGGAAATATATTTCTACATAGTGTATAACTTTGCCACTTGTTAATGTATTGCCTCAAATAAATGCTTCATGTTCAGCATGTCATGTTGTAGTCATTGACACACTACTTTTGGTTTTACTGATGGTGTACCTGAACAGCAGATCATCTCTGCTCTGGGTTCATTAACAACACAGTTGCTGTAAATGCCCCCCCCTTCAGCTCCTCACCAGCAATCTTGGACTTCTAGAGGTAAGTAAGTTCCCCCTCTCCAGCTGAATTGCTAGATTGCTAGCATGTCACAAAGCACCGACAGTGAAAGAGGTTGAGAAGGAGCCAAATCCTTTATGGTCTTTCATGGGTGAGACACTCCATGTCTTCATGCTGGCAGAGCAGACAGAGCTGCACTCTTTGGATACTGTTGAAAGTCAGAAAGTTGGAATTCTGTCCCCCAAAAAGAGGGCTTCTTAGACCCACCTGCCTTTATAGAAGTGAGGAGGTGGCAAGAAAGGGAGTAATGTTACTCACCAGGATTGCCACTCACATAAGCTTTGCTTCATGAGGGCTCTCCAGCCCTCCTATGCCAGATTCTTCTGATGTGCCTGACTCTCCACACTCTCTGCTAACAGTCTTCCTTAGGGAAGTTGGATCCCACCTCCAATGCAGAGAGGAGTGTGACTGTCTGCTCAGGGGCCTCTAAAAATGCAGGAACAGTTATGTAAAGATGAAAACAGTTTTCACCTCTTCCAGTTCAGACATAACCTGCAGCATATGGTTTAAGCTTTTCCTGTTTTTAAAACCCTTCCATAAATACTTGTATTGAACCATATACAAACATTCTCATCCAAAACAAGATTAAAACCAAGAAGGTTCTGCTCTGCTGGATGGAGGGTGGGTTTTCTCTGTTGCTACTTCACTTGTAGCTGTCACTTGCTCATCAGTGACCTCGTACTAGGATGGGAAAAGCAGCAGCCTTCTTTCTGGAGTGAAATTTTGAGCAAGTGGCATCTGACATAACCTAAGGAAAGCTTTGCCATTTCCACTCTGCAGTTTTTTCAGTTGTTCCCTCTTTAAATTTTTGATCATCATTCTTCTCCTTTTCAGCAGAAGTTGACTGAAAGTCTTTCCTTTGAAATGCACAATCAATATTTACATCCTCTTTATTCCTCTCCCTCCCAAAGTTTATTCTAGATAATTCCTTCATTTCTCCAAGTTGGCACCCATCACTGAAATACAGTATTTGGGGCACTGATGACAGGCTTCATCCTAAATCACTGTAATCTCAAGCAGATGGTCCCAACAGTTTGAGTGCAGCAGTTGGAAGAGTATGCCATAAGCCATCTCCCCTTTCCCATCTCCTGCATGCTCCCAGTTTAACTGATTGGCATAACTGGAACAGACCCAACACTTCCTGACAGACATCACTTTATGAAGTCACTTTCCTTTTTTTTTCTTTCCAAAACCAGAATAATTCTCAGTTAAGAAGGGGCTCTGGTTAGAAAGACAAAAATATACAATGTGCACAAACTGTTACAGCCTGAACAAGAAGTTATTTTCTCTATCATATGAGAGATTTAACTGGCCAACTGCAACCCCAGCTTTGATTTGCTGCCCTGCAAAAAATAAAGCACATTCTCTGTAACACAGCTCAAAAACTTCATCCATTGCCAACTTTTACCTGATGTCTATAGAAGGGAAGGCTTCATCTCCCTTCTCTCCATCTGTTCCTTGCGTTACCCAAGTTATTTGACACATGTGTCTTATGAGCACAGGAAAGAGCACACTTGGGAAAGAATTCTCCCACTTCAGCAGAGGCAGAAAATCTCATCTGTGCTGGCAGAAAAAGGAGGACACCAGCCTCTGCAGAGAATCAGATCTTCACAGTTGGTATCAATGGGCACATTTCATTCCAAACCCAAAACTGCTAAAATAATGCAGGAGAATCCTCCTTGTTTCATTACCATACTTAGTCATGCAAGATACCCAAATCCCCAAACTCAGCTAAAAATGCACTGAAGTTCAGATATTGGGAGTTTAAAACCAAGAAACACATGTTCTCAAGTAAAAATGATGCCCAAGAAAATGGGTGGCAGAAGGAGGACAAACAGAAACCATGCCAGAAAAAGATAAACCATTGGGAAGCCAAAGGGAAGATGCAGTGCCTTAAGTTTGTGAGTTTTTCCTTATTCATTAATATGCAGCACATTTAAAATAAATAAACCCAGAAACCTTAGGCCTTATAAAGCCAGACTTTTGTTCTGTGAATGGTCAGTAAACACCTTCAATGGAAGAAGGCTCAGAGAAGATAGACAACATGTGCATGAAGCTCAGAGAATGCTGTCACCAAAGATGCTGAATTAATCTCAGCAGCAAAGGGCTCTGAGATGACCTTTGTTGTAAACAAGCAGCTGTGTCAGTTGAGGGGGTCAGCTGGTTATGTAAATGGCTCTTCATTAAAATAATCTGTACATTCCTGAGCCAGCCACACCAGCATGGGGATGTGTGAATGTGGCTCAGTCCAACGTCAAGTATAAAACTGGAACATCCAGCAAAATCAACTTTGAGGAGAGCAATAGCCTTGAGCTGGCTTCAACCCATGTGTCCCTTCTGGCAACCAAGCTCACCCAGCACTGTAATGGAGAGCAACCTACAGACATCAGTAAAAGGAATGATGCTTTGTATTGTGATTCAACTGTATATACAACTGCTACATTCTGTTTGTGTTGTGATTTCAGTGTATTGCTCTATCACGTTCTAAATCAAAATCCTACGTAATAAGTATCTTCAGCTGAGTAAGTCTGGTACTACAGCATTAAGCTTTCCTAATGTAGAATATCTAGAAGAACCTGGTCAGAGAGTAGTGGATTAACTAACACCCAAATTTCCAGCTGATTTAGCTAACTCTTCACCTCTTTTCCTAAGTGACCACAGAAGAGTTTTATAGAGCTGAACAAGTACTAACACTCAAGGACCTTCAGCCAACACAATTAAATACAAGATTTCTTAAGCACCAATACTTGTAAGCTAGAAAGTTTTACTTGGAACTCTTAAATGAAACAACTATAAAATTATACTGTCTGCGTGTGGGTGATGTCCTCCAGCCTGTGCTCTACAACATGAAGCAACCACTCAGTCTTTGCTGTGTGGACTGTCCTCTGGGTGACTAACAAGCACCTGTACCTTGTGGGTACAGAACACCCATACTGGTGCCTCATCTATTTCAGATATAAGGATCCAGTGCCATCTATGTAATTGTGCTCTAGTATCACACAAGAGAGAGCACTGAAAGGACCTGTGGTGACTACCTACTCCAGTACTCCGACTCGAAGTAGGGTAAAATACAGCAAGCTGGTTGGAAATTATTTCCCATTCATAAGTCCAGGCTGATTACTTCCAATCACCTTCTTATCCCTTCTATGTCTGGAAACAGTTTCTAGGCTGATCTGCTCTATCACCTTCCCAGAGGTCAAGGTGCCATTGACCAGCCTGCAGTTCCATGTCCTCCTTGCCCTTCTTGAAGGTAAGAGTGACATCACTCTTCAGGAAATTAGCCTTATCAGCATGACCTTTCAAAGATAACAAGAAGGGCCTTGCAGTGACATCAGTCAGCTCCCTCAGCACTAGAGGGTGCATCCTGATCAGGTCCTCTGAACACCCTGATGCCCAATTTGTTTGCGCATTCCTAACCTGATCCTCCTCCACCAGGGCTAAATCCTCCTTATTCCAGAATTTGCTAGGCATCTCAGGGACCTGGGATTCCTGAGGGCAAGTCCTAAGAGTGAAAAACAAAGCACAGAAAGCATTGAGTAGCTTAGCCTTTTCCATGTCCTTTGTAAGTCAGTCTCCCATTCCCATTTCTCTTTTCTGCTACTTTTCTTTGATTTCCTGCAACTTTTCTTTGATTTTTGCGTGAGGGAACAAACCATTCTTGAGTTTGGAGTAACAAGTCAGATGAGGTAAGAGAAATTTCTTCAATGGAAGAGCTTATAGGTCACCCTCAAATTGGTATAGGAAAAAACCTCAGATAATCTGAGTATGTTTCAGTCCTATTTTCTTCCATCTCAAAGATCCTCCTTGCCTAGTTTCAATGAGAAAAGGGACTAAATGCTTAAAATAAAATTATATATATACATACATTTTAAAAAATAGTGGCAGAGAACATAATGTTCCTGGAACACTCACATGACTCCAGAAGACAAAAATACAAGTGGATTAAAAAAGAAAGATCAAATATAACAGGTTTTGATACTACATTTCTTCTGACAAACCTACTCAAACAACAATGTAATTTAAATGGATTGCAAAAAGCAGAGGCCTAGAAAGAGAATTCTAGTCTCTGAACACAGGTGCATGTCTAGACAGCTGGAACTGTGCCTGCACATTCATTTTTGCAAAAGCAATTCAAGCTGCCCACTTTGGAAACAGATTCAGATTTCAGGCTCTGCAGTTTACAAGTAATGATCCTTCACTTAAGAAGAAATTACTTCTTTCATAATGTCTACAATTCACCATTTAAATCACTCCTTAATGGAAACCAAATCTAATTTTCCCATGGGAACAAATGATGCACAGATGTCTCCCCAGCTGCAATCAACTCTCAACAGATCACACTGATCAGACCAAGAGTTCCCTCACAGAAGAGCATAATCTTAGTTTCATGCTGATCAGTGGCTATTGTGAAAAGCTTTTCTTACAGGAAGAAAACCAAAGAGTAGAATTACTTCAAGTTGAATACCCCATGAAAATTTTAGACTAGGTCTTAAGCAAACTCAGTCTGCTCCTGAAGTCTGTGTGCCCATTAGCAGCTGGGACAAAAGACACCGCCTATTGTGCATCTTTGAGTTTAGCTTCTTCCAAAAAGGGTCTGAGCTCTGACAGGTTCATAACTCAGCAAACTTCCTGCAAGTGCTGAATGCACACACAGCAAGTTTGCTGACAACACCAAGTTGTGTGGTGAGGCCAACAGACTGGAGGGAAGGATGTCACCCACAGGGACCTGGGCAGGCTTCAGAGGGCCCATGCAAAAAACTAGGAAGTTCAACAAGGCCACATGCAAGGTCCTGCACATGGGTCAGGCAATCCCAAGCACAAATACAGGCTGCCCAGGGCATAGATTGAAAGCAGTCCTGAGGAGAAGGACTTGGGGGTGTTAGTGGACAAAAACGTGACATAACCTGGTAAGCACAGAATCATTAAGGCTGGAAAAGACCTCTGAGACAGAGTCCAACCTATGACCTAACACCACCATGTCAACTAGATCATGCCACAAAGTGCCATGTCCAGTCCTTCCTTAAACACCTCCAGGGACAGCAACTCCACCACCTCCCTTGGGAGGCTGTTCAAATGTCTAAATTACCCTTTCTAGGAAGAAATTCTTCCTAATGTCCAACCTGAACTTCCCCTGGCACAGCTTAAGACTATGTCCTCTGGTCCTGGCACTTGTTACCTGGGAGAAGAGGCTGAGCCTGACCTGGCTCCAACCTCCTTTCAGGCAGTTGTAGAAAGTGATAAGGTCTCCTCTGAGTCTCCTCCAGGCTAAACACCCCCAGCTCCCTCAGCTGCTCCTCATAGGACTCGTGTTCCAGACCCTTCACAAGCTTTGTTGCCCTTCCCTGGACATACTTCCAAGAAGCCCTGGATGGTCTAGTGAAAGGTGTCCCTGCCCATGACAGGGGGATTGTAACTAGATGATCTTTAATATCCCCTCCAACCCAAACCATTCTATGAAGTAAAGGAAAGCACAGAACAGCATATGGGATGCTCAGCAGCCACTGTGAAAGCACATCCTCACTGGCACTAGAACTTTTACTGTAGGCACACATTGAGAAGCCTCTAAAAACTTACTTTGACCCTCAATTCAAAGTTTATTTCAAAACAAAACCTCATTAAAGTCCGTGGAAGTGTCACTCCCTTCAAAAGTCAACCACAAAGCTGTATCTGTATGCTTTAGGCAAAGCTACTACTTTAAAGCAAATGCATCAAACTTCAGGAGTCTTCATTCCATTATGTATGCAGATTTCCCCCATAAGCCACAGTGAGCATTCATCCTGCTTTCACTATCCTACTAAAGCCAAGCACAACTCAAGTTAAAACAAGTCCCCATTATCTAATGCATAATGGTATGGGATTGCATGCTTCACCAGTAAATTGGGATCATGACTCTTGCAAACCAGGTAAGAATTAAGTGATTTGAAACACATGAACCAAATTCTGCTCTGAAAGTGGAATCAGTCAGGGAGCTGCAAGTTAGATCATTATACAAACATGTGGAAAGGAACTATCATGCTTAAGTAAAGCAGAACACAGAATTGAACAGACTAAATACTCACATCACAGGAAAAATTTTGCAACAAAACCACCAGTCTGTTGTTATGTAAGAAAACATTTCTTAGGCCTTTATTTACAAAAGCTTTAAAAACAGATACCCTCTGTTATGCAAATTACTTGTTTAAAAAGGACCACCCAGTTACATCATAACTCAGTGAGAAAAAGGTGTTTGATTTGTGGGTTTTTTTTGTTTTTTTTTTTAAGTACAAGGCAAATCTGAATAATTTGGTGAACATTTAGACTTTTTTTTACCATTGATTTCTGTGTCGAACACACACATTTGTATGCACGTGCACAGACACATAATGTCTCACATTCCATCAATTCAGGCTAGTGTTTAGCTATTCAACACCAAAACTCCTTCCTACACAACTGCTCTGAATATATGCTATGCAGAGTTAAGAACATACTTTAGGGTCCTTTAAAACAATACATCTAAAATATGCTGTGAGATATACTAAAAAATAAACTAGCATTACACTCCTCAGGTAACTTTATTAGCTATAAGTTATTTATACTTTGTTGTTTTACAACAAGTATCTGCAACATCTGTCTTTGCAGCAATTACAAAAAAGCACGATTTAATTGTCCTCCTAATTCAGTAAGTCAATTAAATAGTATTTTGTTAGATCTTTGGGTTTTATCTTCAAATAAACTGACTTACAAAAATCATGAAATCAAGTGCATAATAAATATGACTTCATAAAAATATATCTGAGGTGTACATTACTAGAATAAAAACTAGGAAATTAATCAAGGGAAGTGTGCCATTATAAGCCTCCTACTTTTCCAATAGCTTTCAACTCTCAGCTTAATGGCAAAAAGGCTAAAGTCATAGTTGTTCTCATCCTGAAGGGTGTAAAGCTGTTTTTTCAAGCCTCCTTCCCCCACCACAGAGCAGTTTTAAAGCAACAGGCCAACCAGCAATTGACTTGTGCAGGACATGTTTGAAGATGACTGAACACTAGTAAAATATCAGCAGTCACTATGATTTCAGTAGTTTGTTTTGCTTGAACAAACAGGTTATGCAGCAAATGACTCACATTCTGTGGACTGAGATACCAAGAAAATACAGCTTGAAGCTGCTGAACTTGGCTGATGATTGTTTTCTAGCTGAGGGCAAAAGAAAAAACCAAAACAAACTTCAAATAAAACAGAGGATCTGAGTCAGAGTTGCTCTCTAAAGTGCAAATTTGATGGTCCACAATCTTGAATAGCTAAAACGCCTGCATACTGGAAGGAACAGACATGAGTGGGGAAGTTAGTTACAATCAGACCCAGTTAATTTGGAGGAAGCAGGGGAAAGAAAAAAAACTAGAATGATGTCAGTTCACCAGACTATTCATTACGATTTAACTTTCCCCTTTTCTCTGCCACACTGATCCTATACATGCTTCTTTGCAAAGGGGCTAGTTATGAGGCCAAAATGTAACCCAGAAAGTGTCACATATCAATATTAAGATCAAAATCTGTGATAGGAACAGTCAAGTTTAGTACACAGAAAGACAAAAAAGAAAGTGTGCTGAGGAAGGAGAGGGTGGGAAAAGCCTTATTGTCCAAGGGGCTCAACCAGAGATAAAACCTATGTACAAGCAATGTGGAGGTCAAAAAGATGGCCTTTCACTTCATGTCATGACTGTTTGTTGGCTTCTTCTTCATAAGCATTTCCTGTGCCATTCTGCACATAAGATGACCCCGACCCAAGGCCGTATAAGTGGCCGCAATATTTGGCATCGTCAATGTGATCTTCAAAGAACATCTACAGAGTAAAGAGAGACACAAATTATTGCCAAACAAAAGGTTCAGTTTAAACAGAACTATCGAAAGGCTGTGTTACTTTCTTTGCAGATATAAGGTATCAAATCCTAAGGTGCAAAAGATGATACAATTAATCTGACACACGATCTCAACACATTATCACAACGTGCTGTATGACATGATTCTTTCAATCTGTCAAGAAATGCCATAAAGTCTTCCTGTGCACCTTTCCCAATGAAAAGGCCAAATGCAAGGCTTTCAGAATTTTGAATTATTAGTCAATCACTCACTTTTCTGCAAGTGCAACAAAGATATTTCTCCTTCTGATTTCAGTGGTGCTTCTCACAACAGGCATATACTTAGCATCCATCATCATTGCCCCTTCTCTACCTCCTCCTCAGTGTGGGGGTTTCACCATACTGTGTCTTGGAATGGAGGTATGACCTGGTTGATATTATAAAGGTTTGGGGATGGGGAGGAGGATGAGCATAAAACCCATTATGGAGTTTAGAGGAATGCAGAAAGATGCATTTCCAGCTATCTCCTCACAGAAGGGGGCTTCATTTAATAGAGAACAGTAAAATTTTGAACTAAGATTGCATTTACACCTTACAAGTCTGAATTGCAGACAGAACCTTTCAAGACAAATGAAAACCCATGATGTTCTGATATTATACCTTTCAGACTTAGTTTTCAAGGAAAACCACAAATGATCTTGCAAAAATAAGACATGCACACAATTTGCTCACCCATGAGGTTTGCTACTGCCATCCATTCTGACATGGGAAGTGACACTGAACTGCTGGCAGAATGCCATGTCTGAGGCACTGGCATTTGTCCAGTGCAACTGCCTTCCAGAAAAGGCCCATTCAACATCTGATTGTTCTGCTAATGCAAAATATCCTAATATCTTCCCGTTGTAGCAAGGAAATGTGAAGCTTGTAAGACCTGATTTTCCTTGCTGCAAACCTTAAATTCATTGACCAATGTATCTTTTAGAACTTTAGTTAATCTGTGCTTCACTCAACGCTAAGGAAGAAGAAATGCATGGACATTCTCCACAGCAGCTTCAAAGTCATTAGCTAATACAGCTACAGCCTGAGAGTTTAGCTAGAAGTGTTTAGTCAACACTCCTTCCCTGCCTCTAGGCCAGTCACAAGCAGCAGTGCACACCAACTGGGTATTACACTGAACAAAAGCTCTAAAAATTATTGTCTTGAGTACAGTCTCCCAGAAAGGAGTCTGGCTCCAGCAGCTAATAACTTGCTGCAGCAACCACCTAAAAAAGAGGCACCCTGCAAAGCAGGTAAGGAAAAAACTACCCTAAAACAAAAATTCCCAAACAATCCGAAACAATCCAGGCACAGGCTGGAAATGGGAAACAATACTCACTCAGCAGAAGCTAAACACAGAATCAGTAGGGCTGGTTGACACTTACTCTGGGGAAAATACAGGTGGTCTTAATTTTGTCAAGAAAGGAATGACCCATGAAACCCTTCAGAGACCTCTCCTTACAATACCACAGACTTATCAGAATCAGCAATTCCATGTGCCTATCACAGTATGTTACTGTCATAGAGATAAAACCAATACATCCACTTACTTCTCTCATTTTGAAAAAGGCCATTCCTGTGAGTAAAGAATCAGATCCTGCCTGATGCTGTGGTCCTATCCTTTCCAGCTCTAACTGCTCAGCTACTTCTTGTAATCCACCCTGAAAGAGAAAACATTTTTGTTAACTGCTGAAAAAACTTAAATCAGAAAACTGAACAGCTGTATTTGGGAAAATCTGTTACACAGGTCATACAACCTCAGGTATATTTTAACATGTGCACAGCAGTTGAAGCAGTCATTATACTAGACAAATACACACCTGGAGAATCAAACTTTCAGTATCAACAGCAGTATTAAAATTCTGTCAGTACTGATTAAATTAAGCAATACCTGCAACCAACAAAACCAACTACTCCTCGTGTTCCAGCCTCTCCAGTAACCAGATGCCATTACTTAACAACACAATATTTTCAAGATGTTGAAAGGACTGGCAGTGCTTAAGAACAAAACCAGGTGCTCCTGTACTACTCTTATTTGAGTACAAGTTTAAAAGGTAAGAAATTCATTCTACAAACACAAGAATTTAAGGGCTTACAAGTGAGATGCCCATATGCCTCCATGTGTTAAAGTGTCTAGGCTTCCTTTGAAACAGACCTTTTTCTCTCCACTTGCCTTTCAACAATTAGGTTGACAAAAGCCGAGAGTATCCTTAAGTACCCCGAACACTACAGAGTCCTGGAAAATGTTACAGTTCAGGCCTTTAGAAACCAAGAGGCACGGTTAAAAGAGGAAGGTAGTGCTCAATCTCTGCAAGGCATTTGACCAGTCTTCAAAGTCTGGTTCATTAGCTGGCATAAGAGAATGGGAAAAAACACGCAGAAGAAAATTCCATCATCTTGCAACTAGCTTGCTAAGACACTAAAACCCAACGGTATTAGCCATCATTTCTGTTAGAGATCTATTAGTCATGTGTAACAAAACCTACTTCTTACAAACAAAAAAAATAAACATCTTGCACACAAAAAGTAAACAATCTAAAATAGTAATTGCCTGTTTTGAATGTTGATACAATGGCTTAAAAGGACCATGAAACTGTAGTCAACACTCCAAAGCTGCAAATCTATCTGCTCTAAAGGTAAAACTCCAGTTCTGAAGCAAATTTCCTTCCCAATAAGTTTATGTGAAAAACTATCCCCTTAACTGCAGAGTGACTAAATAAATCTCTTTTTAGTGCCCTCTCCAAAAGAGCAATAACCACTACATGCAGAAGCACACCTGTAATAATTTGGTTTGGTTGTACACAGATAACAGATCAGCTGAATGACAGACATGTTATAATGTAAGTGCCATCTTTAAATGCTGTGAGCACATAACTGCATAACAGGGTGGTTTTAAATTCATTTCACCATAAAGGTACTGGACAGACTAAAGCACAGGCACATTTTTAAGATCTTGAAATACTTGGAAAAAAACAAGAAAAAAACCAGAAAAATCCTTCATGCTGCCATCAGGTTTGCAAGGCAAAAATGAAGCAGAGAGGCAATGCTTTTAAAGAAAGAATGTCTAGTTCACCTTTCTTTGCACTCCTAACCAGATTGAAGTACAGGAGAGAAAGCAGTAACAGGCAAAAGCAGAGCAATCAAATTTAAAACTCACAGAGCAATAAAAAACTGTCTGCCCTGAAAATCTGATCAAACGTTACAAAAATTCCTATGAATCTTAGCGCAATAGCTTTTGGTTCAGATTTTTGTTTTATTTTAGAAGTGGAAGCTTCAGGAATAATCTTCCCAAGTAAAACAAACAAACCAACACAAAAACCTAATACTGGTATAGCTAGTTTTATTCTGACTTGAGCAGCTGCAATATAGTTTCCAGAAGTTTAAGGAAAGTCTATGTACTATACAGTTAAAAACTGAAGCTAGTTTGGTTTCTTTATGTGCTTGGATCTGGCATTTGGACACTGCAAACCTGCTTCATCAACTTAACTCTCAGAAATCATGCTTAGGAAGAAGCAAGGAAAAGAGTACATCTCAGACACAAGCATGTCCTCTGTTTCCTAACTGCAATCAGGAGATGTGAATTTACACCCCCAGTTAGGCCCACACCCTTTCAGTGGCTCTAATTTCTGCTCCTGACCCTCTACCTCCCCAAGCTGCAAATCAGCAGTGCCTCACCATCAGGTTCTGCTAGCTGTAACACTACCTACTCTAGCTTCAAATGCCTTTGAAAAAAAATAACACTCCAGAGTAAAAATCAATTACATAGCAGCTGCAAGCTCTGGAAAGTAGACTTATTAATACAAAACCAGCAGAAACAGAAGCCTACAGAAGATTTTGAAAATAGCGCTTGCAATGGTGTGAGTGTATGTATTTGCAGATATATACCACACCATTTTTGTGTGGAACTTCTTGGTCTGTAAGTGTACTAATTACAGAATAAAATTTGGCCATCTTTGAAAATTAATATGCTATTGAGATTCTCTTTCAGGCAAGACTTTCGCACTTCAGACAAATAAACCCTGCTCGTGTAGGAGGAGGACAAATTATTCCCAAGTTTTCAGAGCACTGGCTTTTCAAGAAAAAAGGCCACAGAATAATTTACATAATCACACAGCCATGGTCAACAGCAAGTCCAGTTCAAACTCTCAATTCATGGCACGATCCCAGAGTTCATTGTTCTGTACAAACCTCCATATTAAAAGCAAGTTTACAACAAGGTCTATCAATCTACAGTACTTAAGATTGCCACTACTATTAAAAGGATTTGAATTGTCTACACAAAGAAAATAACCAGGAACTTAACCTATACTACATTAGTATCTCAAATTAACTCCCAATCTACATGACAGTAAAGTCAGAGTGGCATACTGTAAATTCACAGAATACTTAATTCCACAAAAAGAGTACTGAACAGCTTTCCAATCCTGAAGCATATTTCTCTTTCCAATGCCAAAAATAATTTTTGGGTTTGTGGGGGCAGAGAGTGAGGGACCTAGAGCAGATCAGTGACTTTCATATGAAAAGTTAAGTTAGACAAGTCAATAAAAGACAAGTGCACAGCAGTTCAATTCACTGCAATTTAATAGAGATTGAAAATGACACACAGCAGGAGACAGTGCACACATTTTTAGTCACAACACTGAATGATCAGCAGTTTGTTTCAGGCAGCTGCTCTCAGCACAGTTCAAGTCCACCATCATTTCATCATTTGTAAACTTGGAGGGGTAAGATAGTCCACTTCCCTTCCCCTGCTGTCATTACCAGTCTGCAAGTTAGGTGACAGGATCAAAATGTACTGCAGGAAAGTTGACCTACATAGCCAGCTCTGAAAAAAAAGAAAAATCACCCTTGTTCTTATGGTTTGCTGAAATAAGACCTGTGAAGGTTTTTCTTGTCTTCCAAAAAATATTAATGTCTGTAAACAATACAGGTTACCCACAACAATGTCCTAATGAAACGTCAGGAACTACAATCCCCTCCTCCCCAAACCCACTGCGAATGTCACCTCTGGAATGGTGACACAAAACACCGATCCGTCAGCTTTCCTCTGTGACTAAATCTGGAATATACATTCTGTTCTTAGTGTGTGTCACCACCACTAACACACCAAATGCTTTACTTTGCTTCACTAGGAGTGAGAAAGTAAGAAAGGTTTTTTGGGAGGTTCCCCCCCACTCCACTTTAAGACTCCTAAAGTTTAGGAGCATTTGATTTTTGCTCTCAGCCTCTGGAGAAAAACTTTCTAAGATGTTCTCTAATACTCAACCATTTTCCCAGCTGATTATACCACCAACAACTGCAGAAAAACACAGGTGAACACAGATACACTTTTCTTACTAACCAGAAGAGTGGTCAACATTTTCAACATTAATTTGATTAACAAAGGATTCACATAATTTACTTCCCACACAAGTAGGCTACTACTCCAAGTGACACACTGTGCTAATGCAGCTCAGAAAGAAACAGAGGACTGAAAACAGCACACAGATCACTAGTTCTACACCACAAATTGGCAAGCCATTTCTGACTTAGGATTTGGTTGCACTAAGGTGAATGTTCTCTTTTTCCTTCAGGTGTTTTCCTTAAGAAAGCCTGGAGAGTCGAGTTACTTTCCATAAAAGCAACAAGTCATCAATTGCCTCAGATGAGCAATGCACCTCATTCCAGCAGTAGCCTAGACTCTTACAGTTCTTCAGCAAATCATGCTGTTAACAGTGCCTTTAACATCTTTCACTTGCTGTCTTCCCCTTTACATATTTAGTTCCAATTCCCATTCCTTCTCCAGTCCAATAAAGTATCCAAATTTTATGCCTGACAGAGTAAGCCAATTAGTAGCCCCACTGGCCTGACATGATATTAATTTCTAGCATTTTTTTCCCTTTAAGCCACATGTTGTCCCTGAACATATCCTGTTGTTTATCTTTCCTTGTGGGGCCATTCTTGGCTCCATTCCTCTTCCCAAGACACTTCCACATCATCTTCACTGCAATTACCTTTGCCAATATGACTGCAGTCCTTCAGTGAACTGCATAATGAGGAAATAAGAGTGTATGAATCCCATCAATTCTTATGGTGAAGGACATGAAGGATTAATTCCAAACACGGGATTATCATCTATCAACAAAGCACTGTAAACACAGCATCAACATGCTATTTTAACTGGTTAGTAGTTATAAGCATTCATTTGTGTTCCTGCATGTTTCTGTCAACACCTTTAATATTAAACATACAAAGTTTGAGGCAACAACACTTAATAGGCACCATCAAAGCAAAACTAGACAATAAAGATACAGAAAATAAATACTTTTAAGCACAAAGTACTCTGTCTCCAAACACAAAATTTTTTCTGAGCCATTAACAGATACTTACCTTCAGGTTTTTGCAACTCTTCATGAGATATTTTACATCATAGATGACAGGGAAAAACAATCGCAGTATCTCAAAGAAGTCCAGCTCTTCTTCAGGTAAATTGGAATTTGTCAGGATTTTGATTAGGTAGCCGAAGTCATATCCACTGCAATTTAATAACAAAACCAATATGAGCAAGTAACTTAAGAGCATCCTTGTCACTTCCAACATCAAGACTTTATTGCATATTAACAGGACATTTCACTTAATTTCAAAGTAATTAAGCCCAACTCTTATAAAAACTAAGCCGCAATGCAAAAGGCACCACTGCAGATTCCAGAGGAAACATTTTAATTTAGTGTGCATGAGGCCAAGTGAAGAAACAAAAAATCTGCCTACAGGAGTTTCTCTAAATCCTGAAACAGGGTAGTGCTGCTGGAAGTTTGTCTGGTAACAAGAACTTGGACCAGAAAGACTCCTAAGCTGATTCCTTTCACACAGACTGGAGTTCCTCAGTATAAGCTGAGTAAGACAGAGACAGACTTCTACAGTTCTTGAAATCCAAAAGATTCATGAGTTTCCCTCAGCAGTGAAGAAGAGGGATTGTCTTCCAACTTTCCCAATTAAATCTGCACACAGACAGCTGAAAAATTTAATAGCTTGTAGACTATTACTCTTTCTGCAGGCAACGACAGAGTAAGTTGGAAATTTTTTTCTCTGCACATGTAAGTCTGCAGGAGGCAGCAAGATAACTAAGCAGTACATGTTTGTCAGAAGAAACCGAGGTATTACAGTGTGTGCATGGTAGAGAAAGTGTTTGGGAAGGCTTCCTCAACAGCTTGATGGAAGAAAGAGGACCCAGGAGTGAGGTATGGCATAAGAGAGGAAACTTTGTACTTTTACAAAGGGTTATGAGAGGAAACAAGAGGGTTTAAAACATAGGAAAGACACGTCAGGTATTAAGTAGGACTGAACACCACAACAAAAAGCAGCGATGACTAGTTATACTTCTTCCTAGGAAGGCAGCAATTACAAACCAGATTATTATTTATTACAAACCTGATAATGAATCTGACCTGTTCTGATCCCTCGACTTGCAGGACTGCATTTTAAAAACGCCTGTACTAACAAAGGATGAGAACACAGAGCAGGGCTGCCTCTACCATAGGCTGCATCAGTTTTGCTCTTTAAGGGACCTCAGGCACAGGGCTGAGAAACAACTCAAATGAATTGGTGGCCATGGCAGACTCCAAATTCCCAGTTTAAGACGTTTTGTTCATTCTCGCTTACATAAGTATCATACTCAAACCCAATAATTCTGCAACTTCGTAAGTATTGACCAAGAGCTGTGCACTGTGAGGTGAGCAATAAAAATGAAAAATCAATTACAATCACAGTAGCACTGATCCTGTAGACATTTAGGATCCACAGACTGGTGACATACAGGTCCAAGGCTGCAGCTTGCGCTCTCCATGTAAACAGGATTGCTTCGGGGATTTTTTTTTTTGTATATGCTAAAATTCTCTACACCATCTTTATATTATGAATTTCTAGACAGAGGGTAGAAAAAACTTGAACATACTGGCAATGAATGGACTGCTTGCTCAAAGTCCATTAACAGAAGGTATACAAAAGTACAGACTATTGCAGCACTCCTATGAGGGTTTCCAGTGCTCTAAACAAATCTCATGTTGAACAAATCTGCATCTGGTGCCTTGAAGCTGTGCTGGCAGCACTCCAATCTCTGCAGCAGGAGCTGCTGGCCAGGGGGGAAAAAGCAGTCAAAGATAAAGAAGGATTTCAGTTGAGTCTTACAAAGTAAAAACTGTAGTATACTTGGTAAAACAGCAGGCTGGAAGCTTAATTTTATTAGACCATCTGAGTGGGAAGTGGTGGGAAAGCTTGTATCAGCATAAAGGAAGAAGGAAAGAAAAAAGCCATATTAGCAAAAAAAGGCTATTTAAAAAGATGCAAAAAAAAAAAAAAAAGATTGCTCAGGATTAAGGAGACTTATTCATCTAGAAATTCGAATGTATTAACTTCCTGAATTCCTGACACTGGTCTCCTCGTGGCTCAAAGTTAACAGCCATATTAAAACTTTCCAAGTGAAAAAAACAGTATTTACACTTCTCTTACAACAGATTTTTTTACTTATCTTATGGAAAAGAATGATGTGCATTACTGAATTACTAGAAAACATGCTCTCAAGCACTTCCTATTTCTCTTAAGAAGGAAGTACTGCAAGCAAAGAAAAGTCAACATTCATTTACTCTTCACATTGAGAGGGAGCAGGCTGTCACACATCTGCAATTTCAATTGAGAATTACACTTTTTTTCCCCCTTGGAGGTTGTAACAGATTCTTTCATTCTGGGATTCTCACGCAGAAAAAGGGAACGGGATATCTGAACAGTGGCTTTAACAGGCACGATTACCTTTCCAACACATGACAGCATTCAGCTGGGTACCTGTTCCTGGAACCTCAGGATGGATTAGTTTTAGTCAGCTCGACCATAATGTCACATTCCTTAAGGTCCAGCTGCTCAGGCTTAGTGCTACTGTGCTTGTACTGATCATTACAAAGCATTTTACTAATCACAATACAGCATTAAGGCATTTACATAATCTTTTTAGTTACTTCTCAGGGGTAACATTCTCCAGTCGTCCAAGCTTACACAAGACATAAAAACTGCCTCTCCAAGACTAAGACACATTCAGGTTAAAAAAAATAAATATTGAGTGGCCACTGCTAAATGCTAACAGAAGGGTAAGAAAGTACATGGTGAGCAATTATGTAATTACCTGCTCATTAAAGAAGTTTTCTTCTAATTCTCTAACAGGTAATTAGTGGTTGGTTTATACCCTGAAGCACATAGGCTTCCTTTCCTTACAAAGCTTTCACCATTTCCAAGACAATCACCTGAAGTTGCTTAGTGCAGTGAGCTCTGTGGAGATCTACACAACACCAGCACTCTTACAGGCACTTGTTTTTTTTTGCACTGAACATGGACAGCTGTAGGCAAGAAGACCATAGAAAAGATCAAACATGCCTGTATTTTTCTCTTACTATCCAGAAATAATTCAGATAGACAATTAACATTGAATTCTGCTCAAGCACCAAGTCCCTGAAATAAATCAAAACCTGCAAGAGCTGAGAAAGCTTTAATTCATTTTATAACACACTAACAGAAATGAGCCAACAGATTAAATCTTACTAAAATCACCTAGACACAAAGGATTATTGAAATACAGTAGCTTGGAACTTTCCAAAATCCCAAAAACATCTGGCTTTTTTGTTTTCAAAAAAAAGCATGTTTTCACAGAGCCTTCAAAGGTAGGCAGAGGAGGTTGCACACTGCTGGACACTCAAAGCTTCAGAAGAGCAATCAGCTGAACAACCACAAAATCAGATTTGAGCTGCTCCTTTATGTTAGACTGCCAAGCACTCACAGCCATTTTGACTGTGACAAGGATCAGAAATTTAGGGCTTCCCCTGCCCCTCCCTGGCTCAAACACATTTTAATGTGCACACACACACACAAAAGATTTGATGGAGTTGCCTATGAAGTTGCAGTACACAAGAACTGGTGACAGTGCAAATGGTTCTTCACTCATGTCTGGCAGAACTGCAGGTCCATGCAATTTGCCAACACACCAGGACACCAAGGCAGCTACATCTAATGCAGAGATAAAAAGCACACAAAGACAACTATTTCAGAAGCTAAGAGCTTAGATAGAAACTACATAAAAGCTGACTGGGAAATCAAAACCAAACCATAACCTCAAACAATGAGAAAGGAAGTTGGCAGAAGGGAATTAATCCTATGGGACTCAAATTTAAGGGTTAGTAGTACTTAAAGCATTTTAAGGAAACAGAGGCAACAGCAAAGTCAGCAACTATCAAGTACAGCTTTTTCAAAGAACTACTGCATGGAGATCCTACATAAAACATTTTCAACTGAGCTGTCCTGCTGCTTAAGTTTCCCTGATAGATCACAATCAACCTAAGATATGCTTTAAGACAACAGCTGTTCACAACTCTTTGTGGCACATTTTATATGACCCATGCTCATTTATAGCTCTGTGCAATCTGGTTTCCTTGCAACTTAACCCACTTACTGCAGGGTTTTGCGCTCAAGATAGTATCAACACGCTCTGGCAAGCACAAAAGCCTTTAAAAACACTCTCCAGTAATCAGTGTTTGACAAACTTCTGCTGGAATAGCTGTAGTAAAAGGATTTCAGAAGACATTTTCACTGAAATCCATAACAAGAACTCATTTCAGCACAGATGAAACTGGACTTTTATTATTAAAACTATTCCAAAAAACCTTCATAAGATGCACTAGTAAAAATGGCACTGTTGGGCATGGTTTGCACTACACTTTGACCAAACTGTTAAGTCAGGAATCACACACACTAAATATAATCATGCTTTAAAAAGAATCCCTAGTGTAGAAATGGCTCAGGTATACCTTATACCAGGCCCTTAATGTTAGCAGGCAGTATTGGAAAAACACCATTTTGAGACTGCAGCTGCTTCTACATGGCAGTTTCTGCTGATCCACATGCATGACATGCCTCCCCTTCTCCTGAATCATCCAAGTTATATTACTGCAATCAAGTGTAAATAATAAATATACACATAAGAGCCCATAATAATGGGTTTAAGAAGCTGAAAAAAACCCACTTGATTCACTAATTTGCACTTTGTAGTTATTTTGACACAGTTTATGGCACTCCTGTTGCAGTATTCTTCCCTAAGGTGCTACTCCAAGGTGTTAGTAGCAAAATAGCAAGAATATTATTTTGGAGTGCTATTATGAGTTGAGACAGCCAGAAGTGGAAGAGGTAATCAACAACTGTACTCAGAGGATCCCTTTTTTAACTGCATTTTCTTCTCCCCCTCCCCTTTGGCAACTCAGCTGAAGACTTCTTTCCACAAAGTAAATCAAAAGGATGACTGTTATATGCACCTTTCTACTGCTGCTTCACATTCCTTGCCAAAGCAAGCCTTATTTTTCAGTTAGTTTATAATGTAAATATTTCTCTAATTCCATGTGACTTTCTGTCCTCCAACATTTAATATTTATGGATGAAGAATCTGGGTTTTTTTCTAATTTGATCGTTTACATATCACCACTCACCCATACAGCATGAGTGATGAACATGAACAGGGCTGTAAGGTAACTAATCTCAGCTAAAACACTCACTCTGCTGACTGCCCTCAGCATCCAGCAGTTAAGACATCAGTTCAAGGGCATTACATAGTAATGAGCCCTTAAAGCCACTGCTACTTGCTAAAAGCACAAATTCTCTGGCATGTAGTTGACTCCACAATGACTACAGTGTTAAATCTTAACTCTCAAAGCTCTTTTGTATCTTGACAGACTCACAGAGATTTAGCATTCACATTTCTAACTGAAAGATGAGTTCCTGTGATGGAATAAACAGTAAAATATACTCATTACTTCAGCCAGAGTTAAGGCTTATCAGTGGTCTCCTTCCAGGCTGAGTGGTTTTCAACTGCCCGAATTACCAGATATACAGTAAATTTAAAAGCATAAAACTCTTCATTTTTAATTCCAAAATGGTCTTTCCAATGAAACAAACAGTATTTGCTCAAGGACTGTTTAGGAATAGTTTTCTTCTATCACTGCTGCTGTTATTACTAGCACATGTGATATTCAAAGATACAGCACCACCTGCTGGCTTAGGAACTTCATGTTTTTCAGCTTTAGGGTTTTCTGGTTACTGTATGTACACCAAAAATGAAACACCAGTACCCCCTGCACGGTCTGTTCTTCTAATACAGAATGGTGATAGAGGTATCACAGCAGAAATATTTTCTAAGTGTTATGAACCAAGCTATGTACTACATACACCATCAGATGCACAGCATCAAACACAGCAGATGTGCAATCCAAGCTCCACGAGTCAACAACCAATGTTATATAACCACAGATGGTTATGCATATAACCAACTCAAACACGTAACATGCAGAATTTACCTATGAAAGGAAAGCCACTTGACTCCTTCACACAAGACAACTCCTGATGTCATGAGCAGTTCTGCAAAGTACTGTGTCTCAATTCCTTCTTCTTCATGCTTTTTAAACTGGATACCAGAGGTTGTCAACAGTTCAATAGAGTCCTGAGCATACATATCTTCTCTAAAAACAGAGAGAGGAAAAGTTATCAAAATTTACAGTGATTATAAACTTTTATAAACCTGTTAACATTTCTTTTTTGCTATTCATTCCAGACTTCACTGACAGAGCCAAAGCAACTCTGTTCCATGTTAATGACAAAAGAACCATTTTCAAAGCTTTTTAATTTTAATCCTTCACTAGCATTTCACCATTCCCAACACCTCCACTCCTAAAATCTTCATAAAAAAAACTAGTTCCTGCTCCTCTTCCAGTTAACTACAACCTCTCTTTTGCAAATCTACAGAGGAAAGTGAATCCATAAATACAGATATTTTACCAAATAAGATCCATTACTTGAATGGTGACAAATTAAATATAACAGCTGAAGTACTAATATGTTACATTATAGAGTACACTGCAGAATCCAGTGCTGTATCAGTTCTGTGGTTAATACTTCCCACAAGTGGTTTGTGATTTAAGCTTACATGTAGAGATGTTCATCAAAACTCCTTCTCTGTACACTTGGAAATTGAATACTAGTCAATCCTTACAATTCAGGTAGCCTAACCTTTTCTTTCTAAACAACCAATTTTAACTTTAATAGCCATCTTTTGGACCTAAAATTTAACAGGATAAAATAAAACTCCTCTATGCCTTGTCTGATCCCTTCTTACCCCTATATTTATTCACTTTACCAACTACCATTTTCATGAAGTCTTAAAAGATTTTATGATGAAATGGATGGTTTGTTTTTTGCCCCTAAAGTTTAATCTGCATCTTCACAACAGAAAACAAAGAATGGTTAACTGAAAAAAAAGAAAAAAAATCAAATATGGGTCTGATTAGAAATTTATATTCATTTTACTGTCCACAACATGCTACTCTCTTTACTGTATCATTTTCATGCTAGTCTCTTTACTGTATCATTTTCAGTTTTAATAAAAAACAACCAAAGCACACAAAAAACTAGCCAAGACAACTAGTACATCAAACTTGACTACTAGATTCAGTCATAGTCCTATATTCCTTATTCCCAATAGCAAGTCATCATTTATCAGGAAACAGAGATACATTCTGAAAATGTGTTATATCTTTTCCTCCCTCACACACAACTGCTCATTAGTTCCCCAGCTTTTAGGCATCATCTTCCCAACACCAGTCTAGCTCCCTAACACATTAAAGAACCCATCCAACACAAATGTGCCATTTTACAAAAAGCAGTTTTTATTCTAGTTGCTGCATTAAACTAAAGAGGTGCAGAGTTCGTTTAGAGATACCTTTATGCTCTTTAAAGCACACTAGAACAGGACCTGGCTGTAACCACACACACACACACACAAAATAATAAATCACCTTCTAGGAACAGCTGTTTTGCTTTAGAAGCAAAGCACTTGGCACAGTGCCACTTCCCAAAAGGAAGTTCAGAAACAGACAAAAGACAGTCATTTCTCCAGTCATGTAAAAAACCCCTATATATATATTCACATTTCATCCAGTACTTACCAAGCTTATGTTTTTGTATAAAATCCCCCCCCAGGGAACTAGCAACAAGTTAGTTTGGTGATTACCTGTATCTTGCTTTACTAAGCTCTTATCTCTGCAGCACCTGGCACAAAATGCATGGAAAACTACTTTTGGTTTCAGTTGCCTGACATTAAGTAGACCTTTGAAGCTCAAAAAATAAATAAAACATAACATAGGCTCTTCTTCCCAGATCAATTTGGAAGTTATTAATTCACTCCTCTTTCTCCCACACTTAGCAGGATTAGTATATTCTTCTATTAAAAAAGGGAAAACTTCCATCCAGCATTCATATGGCCACATAAGTTCAGAGATAGCAAAATATCAAATCTGCAATTACTTTACTTTCAAGAGACACTTCAAACAAGACTAAACAGAACATGTCATTGCTCAGATCAAACTGATATGTGATTTGTGACAAGCCACAGCACTGCTTGTTTAAAGAGCAGAAAGATCAAGAGAGGCAGCAGCAGTTTTCCTCTTAAGAGCCCCAATTCCTTTGAAAACAAGTCTTTTCATCTGCAGAAAAACGAGGTTTGTTCTCTAAACCTTCTTTGTAGGTTACAGCTTAGACTTATGTACATAAAGCTGTCCAGTGACCAGCTTGTAACAACTGCAAAACAGAACTCCAAGGCTTCCACATACCTGAGTGAGAAGTGTTTGCACTGATGCTCAATTCAATAGACAATCAACATACAAAAACCTCAGACCAATTACGTTTACTTCAGGAAAATAAGTGTCAAGATATTAGTAACCTTGTTAACCACCAGCTAGAGTATAATAAGAACTCCACGGAAGTGTCTCATCCCTCTGAAAAAGTGAGGTTTATACCTAAACTTTTATCATTGATAAAAATCATATTGTGCAATAACGTTCACAATATTATTGCAATAGACAGTAAAAATTACTTCGCTTTTTGACCAACACTTTAGACAACGTAATTCATAATAAAATCTCCACAGCATTTATGCTGTAGAATCACTAATCCCTTTAAACCTATCGTAGCAGAAAATTAAATACAGTAGCTGAATAGAACAAGTTGCTTTTAAAACACAAAATGAAAAATTTGACAGCATTTTGCCTAAAATATTAGCTAGAACTCATTGTGAGTCTTTCAACAAGAACAACATTATCTGCAAGAAGAAAGAGTACACTTGCTTTAGAACTTGCTGATAACATTTGACATAATACTTTTCAGTCTAGTTGGTAACTTTACTTTTTTAATCTTCACTTGTTGGTATTTTCCCTTTAAAATTTGCAAGGAAACAATATGTGATTTCTGTCACAAGTAGTAAGAGTTAAGGTAGAAGAGCTCTTGAAATGCTAAACATGAAAACAGAGAGCCACCTCTTGCAGTAAGTATAAATGTCTCTTGAAACTTTTGTTGAACCCACTCAGCACTTTTGACCAAATTACCAACATTAAGACAGGCTACACAAAAATGAAAGCAGAAAGCATGTTTGGCTGACAGATGCTTTCCTCACATGAAGTATCTATCATATTCCAACCATATAGATTAAAAAAACATTGCTACAGCTTTCATACATTTTCAGTAAGTCAGAAACATACATTCAGCAGCACAGAAATTCAACACTTACGTTAAGTTAAATTTAAAATTAAATTGCCAAGTTGAAGTCCCTGGAGGGTATTCTCCTTGCTCATTCATAAATGTCAGTCCTAGCTGAATTATTTTCAACAAGTCAACGTTACAGCGTAGTAGCTGGTATTGATAGTCTGCATTGCTTCTGAATTCTCCAATAGGCCTTGCAACCACTCCTGGAAATTCCGTGTCCTGCAAGAACAAAATTAAAACTTGAACAAAAGAACCATAAAGCTTCAAACTGCTCATAAAACGTATTTCAAGCATCTAACAGGTTTATAGCTGAAGAGTACTGTGTGTAAATTTAGCTCTAAAAAAGGTAACAGACTAGAATTCCCGTGTTTGCGCAGTGTTAATTCAATAAAAAGAATCCATTATTCCTTCAATGAAAAGATTTACTGACTCCATCTGAAGTCATGGTGGTTTTTGTGGCAATTTGCTAGATAAACATCAAGTACCCACTCACCATAGCTACATAGTTATACTTCCGTATAACTTGACGAATTTTCTTCATCTCTTCATCCAAGTTACAAGCCCAAACTTCACAGATTCTTTGGCTATGGTCTACAGTAGCTGCTGGCATAGTGTGGAGCTTTACTGAGCATACATCAAAAGTTACACTTGTCTAAGGATCAGTCTCATAAGGAGGACCTCAATTGTTTAATTTTTTAGCCTAAGAGATAAAGAAAACAAAATATTAAAATCTGACGCTTCACTCTTAATTTCTCTGAAAAAAAGCTTAAACAGCACGACCAAACTAGAGTCTTGCCAGTTTCATGTAAGAAGGGCAACCTTTACTGAGCATACATCAAAAGTTACACTTGTCTAAGGATCAGTCTCATAAGGAGGACCTCAATTGTTTAATTTTTTAGCCTAAGAGATAAAGAAAACAAAATATTAAAATCTGACGCTTCACTCTTAATTTCTCTGAAAAAAAGCTTAAACAGCACGACCAAACTAGAGTCTTGCCAGTTTCATGTAAGAAGGGCAACGCAACATTTCGGATCACCGTCAGAACCCAACACCCTACAGGTTTTGTTAGCCACTACCTCTCGCACAAAGGCGGCAAACGGGCAAGGCGCAGTGGCGCAAGAGATACCGAGACACCTGAGCCCCGGGCGCTCCTGCCCCGCGGGCTGGGACGGCGCTTTCCTAGGTGCCCCACGGGAAACGAAGCCGCAGAGAACTATTAGCTTGATGCCAGCTCGGGGCACTGCGGGCGGCGGGAATTCCTCCGCTCCCCGCGCCAGAGAGCGGCGCGAAG